CATCGCGCTGCCACGGGCTCGGGGGGGGCGGTGCCCTGGCCTCGTAGCCCCCCAGCCCACGGGGCTCCCATGGGAGGCAGAGATGGGGGTGTGGGGGCAGGGGGGATGCACTTGGGAGACCAACTAAAGCAGAGATGCATCATCTTTGCTGAACCTGGCTCACTTCATCAGATGGGTGGGTGGGTAGGTAGGTAGGTAGGAAGGGTCATAGGTAGGTGTGTGTGTGTGGGGGGGGATACCTGCCCACATACAGAGCGGAGCGTAGAGGGCGATGGCCACACGGACAGCCCGGCGGAGGGGAGCAGGGACGCACGGCCAGACGGACCGAGACAAAGGCGCCGTCTCTCCCCCGCGCGTGGAGCAGGGTGCGGGCACTGCCCCTGCCCCTGCCCCGGGGTGCGCCACGGGCCTGGACCCCTGCCCACTCGGCCGTGTCGCCCGGGGGGGCCCAGGGCGCGTGTTGCTCGAGGCCCCGGGGCCAGGCGCCGTGCAGGCGTCCGGTGTGTGCGCGTGTGCGCGCGTGCACACTCGGGTCAGGGGCCTTGGTGCCAGGGCTGGGAACGGCGGCTGGCTGCTGCCCCCTGCTGGCCAGGCTGCAGAGTGACCACGACATTGGCGTGGCGTGGGGTGGGGGGCACGTGGGTGCCTCCGTTTCGGGGGCCAAGCTTGAGAGAGCCTCAAGGAGCCGGGCCGCAGCCCCCCAGGCTTCGCCAACTGGTGCCCCCGTGACCCCGGCCTGGTCCTTGCCAGGCGCCAAGAGGAGGCAGAAAGGAAGGCCCAGGAGTGACCGGCTTGCCAGCACGTTGCACGGAAAGGTCTCTTTCGTGCACACACACACACACACACACATGCACGCACATCCGCTGCTGCTCATGCATACGTCTCTCTTGCACCTGCATGTGCATACACGCTCGCTCCCCAGCGCCCTTGTCGTCGGCACGGCACTATCAGGCTCCCGGCCCCGCCGGTTCCCGGTTCCCGTCCGTGTCGGCCTGGCCATCCGGTTGTTTCCCGCTCCCTGGGGCTGCCGGGCAGGGAACGTCCTGTGTGCCAGGACGGGGAGCAGGCTCCCTGCCAGCTCCAGGGCCAGCAGCACGCAGCCCGTGCCAGCACAGCATTGTTTTGCAAGCGGCCGTGGGCTCCCCGTGCACAGTGCAAGGGCCAGGACATGTGGAGGGGGGCTGGGCAGGGGGGGACACCCTTCCTGCTGGGGGAAAAGGTGGAGCTAAGAGCCAGCTCCCCTGGCCAGGCCACACAGCGTGTGCAAAGGGGTGGGACTCGGGACACCTGCGTTCTCAGCCTGGCTCTGATTCTGGGTTGACCACTTCCTTGTGCCTCAGTTTCCCCCGCTGCTCTTTCAGGCTGCTGCAGCTGGGAGCTCTCAGGTACAGGGCTGGGACCTAGCTGGGGTTCAGGGCCTTTAGAGGCCAAGGAAAGAGAAGGCCAGTGCTGTGCCCACTCCACCTCTAGCCTGGCTCTTGGGGTCGCCGGTCCCTGGACAGCAGGGGCTTACGAGAGAGAGCGCCTGCCCGAGCAGACCAGCCTCTGCACGGGGGCCCAGCAGGCTAGCAGTGGGGCTGGGAGAGGGATGGGGCTGCACTGGGCACAGGGCCGGGGACTGGGGTGCAGCAGGCTCTGGGCACAGTCGTGCGGGGCACGGGGGCATGGGCACATGCAGGGCTCCTGAGCAGCCACGCGGGCAGTGCATGACTGGGGGACTTTGACCGCAGCCGGCTGCGCTCCGCCCTGCCACGAGCCTGCCACGCTCACGCCGCCATGCGGCTCAGGCCTGGGGCTGCGGGCACCTGCCCCTGCACACGGTGCGGCTGGGCTTGCTGCGAGGGTCCTGCGGCCTGAGGCCAGAGCTGCGGTGCTCTCTGGGGCTGGCCCCTGCTTCCCGGAGCCCCGCCGTGATGGGGATGCACCTTCTCAGGTCCTCGGGGGCTTGTTGCCACCTCTCCTGCCGGGGCGCCCCCACCTTGCATGCCCCCTGCCCCCGGGGGCTGCTGTGCTTGGGCTGCCCATGCGTCTCCTCCACCTGGTTGCTGAGGCAACGGTTTCCGCTCACCTGCTTTCCCCGTGGGAGGCAGACGTGCTGGGGCTGGGGCTGGGGCTGGGCCGCCAGCTGGAGCAGCAGCTGCTGCTGCCATAGCAATGCTGTGGCATGGGGGAGGCACCCCAGGGCCACATGGGGACCAGGACCTGGGACGTGGGCACGGGGACTGTGCCTTTGCAGGCCAGGCCACTAACCAGCCTCCTGCCCCCCCGTCCGTCTCTCGAGCCCCTGCTTCGCATCAGAGCTGTTTTGGGGCTGGGGGAGTCTCTCCGAGGAGGGGTCTTGGCAACCGGTGCTGGGACGCGGGTCTGAAAGCACCGGCCGCGCACGTCTCTGATGGACGCTGCAACTTCAGGCCTTGCAGGGTGATCTACCCAGGGGCTTGTGGGGTGGGTATGGGGGAACGGGCTTGTTGGACACAGCTCGGGGGTCCCTAGGATTTCCAAGTCTGCCTCCCCAAGGGGCCAGAGCCCCTCCTTTCCCAGCAGGTTTCCAGCCACGGCAGCTCCCCGCAGCTCCCACCGACGTCGCCCGCGAGGGGCGTTTGCAAACTGGGCCACTGATTCAGGTGCCTAAATATGGAGCGAAAAGCTTCCCACGGCCTAAAAATACCTCCCCTCCCTGCTTGTGCGCTGGTGCCTTTTCCCGGCGGCGCCAGGCAGAGCCTCCGCGCGGCCATCTGCTCCGCGCGCGGGGCGGCACGTTGTCAGAGCCTGGCAGGCGGCGGCGGCATCACGACTCGAAGCCGTGGCACTTGTTATTTGGGGCAGGAAAGGGGCGGAAGTGAGGTTGGAGCTGGCATCCAGCTGAGGCCGTGGAAGGAAGCAGAATAAAAAGCCATAACGGGGAATCCGATAGCAGGGAAAGCTGCTGGGCCTGATCCTGCCCTGTGCCCTCGTGCAAGAGGCGTGCGAGGCCACGCGGCACGGCGGCTGCAAGGCAATGGGGTCTCGTCCGCTTTTTGCTTGCCCCAGCCAGGGGAGGGCATGGCTGTGCTGGAGCGCTCTGGGTTTGGGGCCGGGGCGGCTCACAAGCCAGGCAGGTGGGGCAGGTGTGGGGCCCGTCTGCCCTAGGGAGCCCCGCTGGGATGCTGCTGGGGGCTCCATCGCCAGCCCCCAGGAGCATGGCACCATCCACCCCTCCATTCAGAGCCGGGCTTGTTCGGCCG